TTGTGTTCATTTTCTGGGGAAGAGATGGTTTTGCCTGGAAGTGCTGAAGCTCCCAGAGCATGAGGTGGAAAGGTTATGCCTTACAAAGAGACTGTAGTCCATGTCCTGTCTGAGTTGTGCCTATATAAATCCAAGGGGGAAGGTTGGACAGAAGGAAAAATAAAATTTTGAATCTGGAATGAAAATTTGAGGATTTACATATTGCAGCTATGTGTCTCCGGCTCTTGATCTTCTATGTTTACTTTGACCTTAACTTGGATTTGCGTTAAGGGAGACTTCGTTGTAGCAGATAAAATTGGGTCATTTTGTTCTCACAGCCCTTGAAATCAAGATGCTGAGCCAGTCCTGGTTGCAGTCCTCGCTGTGCAACAGATTGCTGCAGGTTTCCTGGTGTTAGGAGAATATTTCACCAGTTTGCTGCATGAGCAGGTGTAGAAGTTAGCAATAGTCATGTATATATTTAAAAATAAGGCGGGGGGGGGGGGGGTGGTGTAAGGTGAGAGAGAAGAAAACGCTGTTGTCTTGCCCATCCATGAGCTAATCAACCAAGAACAGAATGATGGGAAGAATCTTGAGCCTGGTGTTCCCCAGGTGAGTTTATATTATCCAGTAGAAAATAAGTCTGAACACACATGACGTACCAGTGTATACGTATGAGATAATTGAAAGAGCTGGTACAATGTATATTTGTATAGCAGTCCATTAGACTAAAGTTGCTGGGGGAGGGGAGCCTCAGTCCATTTCACTGCTATCAGCTTGATGCCAGTGCCAGCAATAGATGCCCAGAGCTTGGAGAGGGATCACAGGGCAGCAGGAGAACACCTGAAGAGAAACACAAAGAAATTCCAGTCAGTAAGTCATCTTCATTGGAGACCCAACCTAAATGCCTCTATGGAAATGCACTCAGCATGGGAAGTAAAGGAGGAACTAGAGATGTGTGCATGCCTGCAGGGCTATGATCTTATTGGTATTATGGAGACATGGTGGGATGGCTCCTATGACTGGAGTGTTGGAATAGAAGGATACAGACTCTTTAGGAAGGACAGGCAGGAGGAGAAGAGGAGGGGGTGTCACCCTCTATGTCAATGACCGGCTGGAGTATATGGAGCTCCACCTGGAGATGGATGAGGAGCCAACCGAGAGCTTATGGGTCAGGATTAAAGGGACAACAGGGACAGATGACATGACATTATAGTAGAGGTCTGCTACAGGCCACCCAACCAGGAAGACCAAGCGGATGAGGCCCTCTATAGACAGATAGGAGCAGCCTCACATTAATAAGCCCTGGTCCTCACGGGAGACTTCAACCACCCCAATATTTGTTGGAGGGACAACACAGCAGGGCATAAATAAACCAGGAGGTTCCTGGGATGCATTGATGATAGCTTCCTTCTCCAGATGATAGAGGAGCCAAGGAAGAGAGGTGCTATGCTGGACCTAGTTCTGAACAACAAGGAGGGGCTGGTGGGGATTGCGAAGCTCCAGGGTAGCCTTGGCCACAGTGACCATGAAATGATGGAGTTCAAGATCCTTAGGGCAGTGAGGAGAGTGCACAGCAAGCTCACTACCCTAGACTTCAGGAGAGCAGGCTTTGGTCTCTTCTGGGATCTGCTCGGCAGAATATCATGGGATAAAGCCCTGGAAGGAAGAGGGGCCCAAGAAAGCTGGTTAATATTCAAGGATCTTCTCCTCCAAGCTCAGGAGCGATGCATCCCAGCAAAGAGTAAGTCAGGTAAGAATGCCGGAGACCTGCACGCATGACCAAGGAACTCCTGGACAAGCTCAAACACAAAAAGGAAGTCTACAGAGGGTAGAAACAAGGACAGATAAGCTGGGGGGGATACAGAGAAACTGTCCGACCAGCCAGGGATTGGGTTAGGAAGGCCAAAGCCCTGATAGAATTAAATCTGGTCAGGAATGTCAGGGGCCACAAGAAGTGTTTCTATAGGTACGTTGGTAATAAAAGGGAGACTAGGGAAAGTGTGGGTCCTCTCTGAAAGGAAACGGGAGACCTCATTACCCAGGACATGGAGAAGGCTGATGTACTCAACTTTTTTGCCTCAGTCTTAACTGGCAAGTGTTGCAGTCACACAACACCCAAGTCACAGAAGGCAAAGGCAGGGACTGGGAGAATGAAGAGCCACCAAGTGTAGGGAGGGGATCTGGTTCGAGACCATCTAAGGAGCCTGAAGGTACACAAGTACATGAGACCTGATGAGATGCATCTGAGGGAACTGGCAGATGAAGTGGCTAAGCCACTATCTGTCATATTTTAGAAGTCATGGCTGTCCAGTGAAGTTCCTGCTGACTGGAAAAGGGGCAGCATAACCCCCATTTTTAAAAAGGGAAAAAAAGAAGACCCAGAGAACTACAGCCAGTCAGTCTCACCTCTGTGCCTGGCAAGATCACACAGGGGATCCTTCTGAAAACTATGCTAGGGTACATGTAAAATAAGGAGATGATTGGTAACAGCCAATGTGGCTTCACTAAGGGCAAATCATGCCTGACAAACTTCTATGACAGGCTTACAGTATTGATGGATAAGGGAAGAGCAGCTGGTGTCATCTACCTGGACTTGGGCAAAGCATTTGACACTGTTCTGCACAACATCCTTGTCTCTAAATTGGAGAGACATGGATTTGAGGGCTGGACCACTTGGTGGATAAGGAATCAACTGGATGGTCCTACTCCAAGAGTTGTAGTTAATGGCTCAATGTCCAAGTGGAGAGCAGTGACAAGTGGTGTTCCTTGGGGGTTGCTATTGGGGCCAGTGCTGTTTAACATCTTTGTTGGTGACACAGACAGTGGGATTGAGTGCATCCTCAGCAAGTTTGCTGATGACACCAGACTTTGTGGTGCAGTCGACACGCTGGATGGAAGGGATGCCATTCAGAGGGACCTTGACAGGCTGGAGAGGTGGGCCCATGCAAACATCATGAAGTGAACTTCAAGGCCAAGTGCAAGGTCCTGCACATGGGTCAAGGCAATTCCATGCACAAACATAGGCTGGGTGATGGGTGGATTGAGAGCAGCTCTAAGGAAAAGGACTTGGGGGTAGTAGTGGATGGAAAACTGAATATGAGCCAGCAATGTGCACTCTCAGCCCAGAAAGCCAACTGTATCCTGGGCTGCATCAAGAGAAGTGTGGTCAGCAGGTTGAGGGAGGGGATTCTCCTCCTCTACATCGCTCTCATGAGAGACCCCACCTGGAGTACTGCATCCAGCTGTAGGGCACCCAGCATAAGGAAAGACATGGACCTATTCGAGCAGTTCCAGAGGAGGACCACGAAGATGATCAGGGTCTGGAGCACCTCCCTTATGAGGACAGGCTGAGAGTTGGGGTTGTTCAGCCTGGAGAAGAGAAGGCTCTGGGGAGACCTTATAGCGGCCTTCCAGTACCTAAAGGGGGCTACAGGAAAGATGGGGAGGGACTCTTTATCCGGGAGTGTAGTGATAGGATGAGAGGTAATGGTTTTATACTGAAGGAGGGTAGATTTAGATTAGATGTAAGGTAGAAATTCTTTACTGTGAGGGTGGTGAGTCCCTGGCACAGGCTGCCCAGATAAGTTGCGGCTGTCCCTTCCCTGGAAGGGTTCAAGACGAGGTTGGATGGGGCTTGGAGCAACCTGGTGTAGGGGAAGGTGTCCCTGCCCATGGCAGGGGGGTTGGAACTAGGTGATCTTTAAGGTCCCTTCCAACCCAAACCATTCTATGATTTCAGTTGCTTCTAGTTAGTATACATACTGTATGTATAGTGGATACACATGGTTATATGAATAAGCAGATGAATAAAGAAAGTATGGGTAGTATGCTGGAAGCTGTGGATGAAACTGAAATAGAAGCCATTCTCTTCATTATCAAAAAAAGTAGTGTCATATCATGTCACTGTTTCTGTCACTGGAGTAATAGCATTTAAAATGCTTTATGTGTGTGGATTTGTGCTGTTGACATTAAAAAAATACAAGAATAATTGCATTGTAGTTTATAAAATAATATCTAAAAATTTAAAAAATGAGTATATGAAAATGACATTCCAAACCTGGCTCATTTACTGCATATTGTGCTCAGAAAGGACTTGAGCACTCAGTAGCTGGCTTGCTTGCTTACTTAGCAAGGGCTTGAGTCTGTCCTCTTTCCTGCCCCTTCTCTATTTCAGTCTTGGCTTTACAATTAGGTATATGGGAATGTAATTTTAAACACATTTCTACTGAGTTTTTGTCTGTTCTTAACAGTGGGTAAAGGTGGGGTTTCTGTTTTGTTGTTATTTGTCTGAGGGTGTGTGTGCTTTGTTTTTACCACTGTAGCTGCTGGGTAGTTAGTCACCATGAAGGCATGTGTAAGTGAATTGTATCCCTGACCATGGCACAGGTGTAACCTGGTCAGCTATGGATACCATTCCATCATATGTAAAACAGCTGCTAATGAATGTACATCAGTAAACATGTTTTCCGTGACTGAATGCTTGGCTGTCAGAAGACCATAATATTGTGAAAAGATCTGCCACTTTGATATGCTTGGCCTTATGAGATCTATATAAAAATTAAAATGGTAAGAGTAGTATTATAAAACTGACTGCTGTAAAAGTTTGAATGAGCCTAATGCTACTGTTTAACATGTTCTGTAGATTTTTGCTTGATTCTTGGGAATGGAACCAAGTTCTTTTGGATTTTATGAACGTGACTCCCATTCTCCTGCCCCTCAGAAAATCCCAGTGATGTTATTGTTTCATTGAAGTGCATAGGAAAGCTTCTGCTGACTTCCCTTAAGGCTGAAATTAGTTGAAATTATTTTTAGAATTTCCCCTCATTTGATATTGTGCTGTCTGCACATACCCGTCTTAAGTGCAGCATTTCTTGTTCATTATGCTTTCAGTGCATGCGCATTACGTGCAAAAACATTTAAAGTGTTTGAGACTGGAATGTATATTTCTCTTTGCATTTGTAGGAAACCACTTTCTATTAACCATTTGTTGAGTGAACATCGAAATCTCTTTTTCCTAGGAGCCATCATTGGAGATGCTTCCGTTGACTGGAAAAACTATAATATTTGATAGCTTTCCTGATCCTTCAGATACCTGGGAAATAACCGAGACTATTGGCAAAGGAACATATGGAAAAGTTTTCAAGGTGTTAAATAAGAAAAATGGCAGCAAAGCAGCAGTCAAAATCTTGGATCCTGTTCATGTAAGCTACTTAAATTGTTTGGTTTATGCTTAATTGTAAGTGAATTTATGTAGTCTTTTTTTCTTCTAATCTTGGTAGATCATTTGCATTAGAAGTGATAGTGAAATAAACTGCTTCAGCCTGCTAAGTACCAGGCTAGCTATCAATGCATTTTTCTTATCATAAGTGATCTTGGAAGTGATTGTATATGGTAGAAGTCAGAAGTATACTGAAACTTTTTTTACTTTTACTTTTGGTTCCCCCATGTTTATCTCTTGGTTTCAGAAGCAGAGCTAATTATTTTCCTTTTCAGTACCAGGAGCCCTAGCTTCTTCTATTTTTACTGTTATTCCCTTGGCATTTTTTTTTTTTTTTTTTTTACATACTAGACAGTAAGAAATTTAAGTACTTTTAAGTGCTTTAGATGTACCTTCAAGCACCTGTTTTAAGTACATGCTTTTAGCTGAGTTACGTGCTATGACTGATACTTTAAAAATAAAATAGCATACCTCATTTTTATTGTTTTTGTTGGTTTTGTGTTTTCAGAATATGCCAAAATACGTAGATATCATAGAGGGATCGATCTTTTCAAATGGAAAATACGAAGGCAGTAGCTCCTACACTCAAAAGACCAAGTGGCTGGGAGATGGAATTATTATGTTGTAGAGTATGCCTTTATTCTCAATAACTGACATTTGTTGGGTGGCAGATTAATGCTCAAGGAGTAAGGAAGAACATTATTCTTGTTTGTAAAAGCATACCCCATTAACTTCAGTGGTGCTTCATGTGGCTTGGGATTTTTCTTGAAAACAATAACCTGCAAAATGTAGATAAGAACTGTTCCTGTTTCAAGTGGCCCCTTTGAGCTCATATTTTGCACTCTCAGCATAGGGTTGTGAGGCATGTGCTTCCATTGCACGAGCTCTGGGCAGGAAGAAGGGAAGAGCATGCCATGCCATGGGAAACACTGCAGGTCTGGAGCTGCACAGACACACAGGGCTCTGTCTGCCCCTGCATATCACAGTGTCAAATTAGGATCCCATGGCCCCTAGGTCCATGGAATGTATTTGTGAAAACATAGTGTCTTGCATTATCTTTACTGTGTTTCTCGTTGATCTGCTTTTTATTTCAGCATGCTTTCAAATCAACAAAAGGAGGCTCATCTCAGTTCAACATCACATACCTCTCCCAAAGTAAACACGATCTGCAGCCAAGTGATAAGGATCTTGATGAATTCAAATGCATTGGAAACTCTATTTTTGACTCTGTTTGCTTTCTGTAAACAAAATTCTTGCACTTACAATGAATAAGGAGAACTTTCTGGCAGTTGATGTTGATCTAAATGCCTGTATAGCAGGAAGTGCTTCTGCTTTCATCTATTTCACAAGTGTTTAGGAATAATTCTTAAGTGTCAACTAGTTATGGCAGAGATTATTGAAGGCATCAGGGAAACTTTCAGTGTTGTGTACACTTTGGAGCTTGTAGGAAAAGGATAAAGGATGATGACAGGAAGAAAGAAGAGGTAGTAAAGCCCCGATGCTAGAGGAAAGAGAAATAGATTAAGTAGGAGATAAGGGAATAAAATGTAAAAAAGACAAGAAATACAATAGATAAAGATGCAATGTAAGAAACTGAAGAAGGGAAAAGATGTAACTGATGAAAACAGATTCCTTATTTTAATGAAAAAATGGAAGTCTATAATGCATCCAATATCACACTCCAAGACTTGAATCATTTAACTGAATATATTCTCCTTTTTATTGTAAGAATACTATTCTTCTTTTTCTCCTCCTATTTAGAGGATATCTGGAGTAGCTGCTGTACCTCCATGTTACTGTTAAAATGGGAATTCTATATTAGAAATAGGGTTAAAACAATAAACTAGTTCTTTTTGTTTAAACTGAAAGTATTATTAATGGCTGCAGAGGGAGCCATTGCAATGAGGAAAGATACTTTCTGTATTTTCTTCTTTAAATTTTACATTTTTTTCTCTGAAGATGGTTTCAGAATTGTGCCACTTGAGAGATGGACTGAAAAAAAAAACAAGCAGAAGAAATGTGGTTTTATGTCACTTGGTTTAACTGATATTTCCAAATTAAACTGTGAAACTACATTATCATGGGTGATATGAGACTGGAATAAGCATTTCCTGTTTAGTCCTTTAGAGCTCTCAGGTTCTTTGTGTTGAATAACAGCTCAGCTTTTTGAAACTAAAAGTGAAGGTGTTGAAATGAGAATATATGAATATGGAACTGAAAATGCTCTTAGTCTTGTCCTCAGAGCTGTAACTAAATGCCATTGTACTTTAGGACTCTTAGCCAAATTATCCTATGTCTAAGTTCAAATGAAAATGTTCCTCCTACCATTTCTAAAAGAGGTACACTTATGCAGGTAAATATGTTCAATTCAATCAAATACTTCAAGTTCTCTTCCTTCATAAAATGCAGAGGAAAATTTTTCTTTCTGGTATGCACAGAATGAATATTCTATTCATTTCATTCTCTCTCTTTTCATTTCTCCTTATAATAGTAAAAATCTCATAAAATTTGAGCACCCCTCAGCAGACAGAAACCTCTATTAAATCACAGTAGGACAGTGGATTAATTCTCTTCCAATTTCCCCAAGGCAGCCAGGGCTATTGTATGGGTTTTGTGTAGTTTTTTAGCTTTCAACTCTGGGGGTTTTTTTTTGATTTTTTTTTTTTCCTTTGATCTCTCCTTTTGTTTTTGCCAGATGCGTTGTCTCTGTTCATCCCTTTTTATCTTTCTCTCTTTCTTCGCCACCTTCAGTGCCTTGGTTCTTTCTTCCTTCCTTGCATCTCTTTTTTTTATCGGTTGTGTTCTGTGTTGTGCATATGGGAAAATTAAGTTAAAGTGAGTTCTGGATTTAGCATTGGAGAGACCTGTGTAAGAAACAAGTGAGCAAAGTCCTCCTAGGGGCAGATGCCTTTGGTGGTGAGCAAAATAAGGAGTGTCATTCATTGGGAATATAAAACATCCCTTTTCTCTGCCATGGTCACTTCTATTTGGTAGTGGTGAGACAGGTTTTCAGCACTGAGTAGGTGCTTTTCTTTGATACAAAATCCATTCATATGGATAGTGAAGTTCATAGCCTTCCTCTAGAACTGATTTTTCATTTCCATTTCTTTTTGGGTGGGTCTAAATAGCAAATTGTGTTAAAATGTTTTAAATCTGGAAACAAGTATGGGTTTGGGGGTTTTTTTTGAGATCTAAACAATGGGGGGAAAGGACAGCAGCTATTCTGCCTTTACCTGTGACCAGGATGGATTGAATATTTTTTCAGCATGACTGAAACACAATCTGATAGTGTCCCTCAATGAGCAATTCCAGTGCATAGGTGGAAGGGGTTACCTGAGTCATCAAGTGTCTACTGTTGCTAGCGTCCATGTTTGGTCTGAAACAGCCTACACAGCTCCTGGTGCATGTGTTGGCAAAACTTGTCCTCATCTCTCACTTCCAAATGGATTTCCCTCACTGTGTAAAACACCCAAGGTCTGTAACAAAAGACTGACAAAAAGCCACAACTCTTACAACTCAGTAGGAAAAGCCAGGGAGATCATGGAAGTCACCAATTTCAATGATAGTAGAAAATGGGAAAAATTCCCACGTGATTCTAGAAAGTGGGATGATAAATGAGTAAGATGTGGCTGCAATCATAATTGCTTGTGAATAGAAAGGTAGAGAGGTGATTCCAGCTGCACCATCTCTAACTGGGGGTACCCCTGAGATTAGAGAAGTAATGTCTGACTTCCTGAGGCATCTGCATACCTACCCACTTGTGGATTGCACTGATTTTGCCTTGAAATGACTCTTCCCCATTCTCCTGAGGGCTGCTCTGTCACACCAGGTGTGTTCATTAGTTGAAATTGATAAAGACCAAGTTAAAAAAAAAAAAAAAACAAAACAGATGACTGTTTTGTATTGAGTAAACAGAACTAAGTTTTGTAGCCCTGCAAATAGTACATTTATGTTCTGATTCTTTTTTTTTTTTCTTTGCATTATTTCAAGCTACATTTGAGTAGCCAGAAAACGCTATGTGTTGGGTTTTTTACGTGGCTATCATTGTTTATTTATTAACCACTATGTATTTCTCATTTGTGACACTAGGATATTGATGAAGAAATTGAAGCAGAGTACAACATTTTGAAAGCTCTCTCTGATCATCCAAATGTAGTAAAATTCTACGGCATGTACTATAAGAAAGATGTGAAAAATGGAGACCAGCTTTGGCTAGTTCTTGAGGTAAGTAATTCAGAAAAATAACAGTTTTCTTCCAGTTGGCTTTCCTATATTGAGTATAAACTCAATGAATGAGATGCAAGTCAATTGTTTTCTGTTTTCCTTTAGAGTGGTTCCATGTGAAGTGATAAATGCTGTTGTTTAGTCTTTTCAGTGTTCTGAATTAATGGTCTGCCTGAGTTGAGCATTCTTATTTTGATATTATACTGATAGTGCTGTGCCTACAGAATTAGAATATAAATTCTAGTAGGACTTCATAGAATTTGCTACCTAAACTCTTTCTTTGGTGAAAGGCTTGTCATGAGAATCTTCCTCCAGTAGCATTTCTTTAAATATGGCTAAGATAGGACATAACAGTTAAAGAAATCACTACGATGACTTTATTTTGAAATGAAATGATAGAGTTTTATTAATTGAATTGCCTTTTTTGTGCAAGGAAATGCACAAATAGATAAATAAGCCAATAAAAACACACAACTACCCAAATACTGTTGAAAGCAGCAAGATTTCCTCAAATGGAGTCAGAGCAAGATAAGGCCTGTAATTTCTGTTTCAGTATTTAATTTTGACTAATCTAGGAGCAAAGAGCTTAACTGTTACTGTTTTTGTAGATTCACTATAACCTACTCTGCAAAAACTTCTTCCCCTCCCCAGAGGAAAGTGAAGAATGTCCATGACAGGAATAGTGTGCCTTTCCAAACAATGAAAGCTGTTGCTGATGTTTGATCAGTGTCTGATAAGGTTGAGATTGAAGAACTGGTTGTATTTTATTTGTCAGTTATGTGAATAGAAATCTTCTACCAAATATCTCAATGATACAACGGTATCTAATCTTGGAAACAAGCTCTAAAAATGCCTAAGTTCTAAAAGCTTCTCCAAATTCTTCTGACTTGACTGGAAAGATGTTTTTAAGAATAGTTTGCATTGGAAATGGTAATAAATGGTTTGGTTAGGCTGACATCAGAAGATGTCAGCTCTTTGTTCAGTGAGCATCTTTGAAAATCTAGCTTCTATTGTGTCTGCCAGGCATTTGAAACTCCATCTGTGGATCTTCTGGCCTGTAAAGGATGGATGCCAAACAGCCAGGATGGAATAGACTGTGAGGAAACAGTCAAGTGTTTATATTTTAGCTTTTATAGTTCACATGGATTTATTTTTTAATGTGAAAAACACAAGCCTACATCTGCAGTGTCAATTTTATACGTACTCTTTGCGTGCCAAGCTGTACATGTGCAAGTGCTGGTATGAGGTGTGTGGAATATCCTTGGAGGCTTTTAGTCACTGCACATGTAGATCCATGAAAGCAATGGGTTTCAGTTGGTGTATGTATGCGTAGATATGCATAAGTAGAAAAATAAATTCCGGTGGTGACTTCGGTGAAGCTTTCCTTTTAATAAAAGTGTCTGTGAAAGAAAACTGTCGGGGAACAGAGTCCTCTGTCTAAGTGTCACCTCCAGCTTGTATTCTGCTTTAAAGGGCCATTGCAGTTTGTTTTTCGCAGTAGCTATTTAGGTGTCCTACAGTTCATAAGAATTAAGTTATCTTCATCATCTCGGTTCTGTGTTGTTGTGTGGTTTTGTTTTGTTTTTTTTTTTTTTTTTTTAAAGAATATATTTGTGTCTAAATTTATGAAGGTGGTGATTAGTCTTTAGCTCACAGAGACCTCTGTTTCCATTGCTTTGGGTTTTAGGGTTTTTTAAAATTTATTTTATTGTAAGAGACCATTTTCACTTTAAAACTATTGCTTTCCCTGAAGAGGGGAATCCAGTCCTGAAATTTAGATTTGCAGAGTTTGATACCGGAGAGGAGATCTTTCTCATCTCCTTCTCTAAAAAAGCTGTCAACTAATCCCTGGAAATTCTATGTGATCCTCTGAAATGAAGACGGACCTTTTGCAGTCAGCACCTAGCCTGTAGACACATTCCCAAAGACTGGAAGGACAAACAGTGTAGACCACTACAGTTTGCATAATCTTAAGCGGCTTCCATAGTATCTGAATGCACAGTGATGTCAAGGAGGAAACATAGAGAATCACATGCAGACTTGCGCACTATAGTATTTTGGAGCTATTGTTCATTTAATGTTTTCTGCTAAAATAAACAAATACTTTTTTGATATAATAAAGTACCAAGAGCTATGTAGTCATTCTCATACTTTGTCTTAACCTTTTAGTGTAGATCTAGTAAGTTAAAAAATGTGTATAATGATTACTTGGAAAAATAGACAACTTTTTTGCATAACACACTTCTGTGTGTGACACTCTAGTGTAGTAGCTGTAGAAGTGTAAAGTTACTATATTGTGTTCATCTTAACACGTAAGGACCTAAATCTAAGACTAGTATGGAATATGAATTTTAAGAAATAATTAAAAACTAGAGAAAAACTAATAATATGACAACTTTTAGCATCATTACCATTTTTTGGTAATAAAGTAACCTAACTTTCTTAGTTCAGCATTTTTAAGGGAACCACCTACAGGAATGACCGTGAAAGAGGAATACATCTGTATGGAATAACAGTACTCTTGAGTCTCGGTTCAGAAATGCCCTTCTCTGTAGGCTGCACTCAGATTGGCTGAACATCTGCCCCTGTATGGATGCTGTTCTTATCACATTTATAATAATTAATATTACTGGAGGGAGGATTCTCACCAGGTGTATTAAGCCTTGCCACATGTGTCCAGAGATGCAGGCAGAAGAAATTGGCCTATTGAGTCTGTGTTGAAAAGAAACCACTTGAGTATTATTCTTGGGATGAATCAGTTTAGCATCTTCATGTCAGCATGTTGACACAGCTAAGGCAGAATGTGCTATAGCTGATTTCTTTCTGCTCTGGATGTTAGTTCAGAAGGGAATAGATCCAAGGTAGTTAGGAATCAGCTGATGGAAGATGAAGCAGAGAGGTAAATTGTAGCAGGCCCTACAGGTGAGCAGGTGGGGAGAACAAGTGGCACAGCCCTTGCCTGAGATCTATTGCAAAAAACAACCTAGTCAAGACTGACCGAAGGCTGAAAATACCACAGCAAGGTAAATGGTAGGTCTTCCATAGCTTTTACTTGCTACTGTAAGCCAGAGGCCAAGAAACATAATGCAACGTGTTTCTATAGCTCGTTTCCTACAGAGATCAGGTAGAACTTCAAAAAGCATCTCAGTCCATTTTCAAAAGACACATAATTATGCATGCCATATTTGAGATGGATTTAAGTTTGTGAGTCACGTGAGTAAACTAGAATATTTTATCATTCTCAAGATATTTTTATGCTTAGGAAACAGGAAACACCCATTATTTTTATAGTAGGAAATGTTACATAGTAAAAGATTTTGGTTTTGTGAGTTAAAACTTAGCTTGGTAGGGAAGAAAAGTTTGGATGGAGCAACTTCCCACCTAAAAACACAGTTCTGTAATATCAAAGCATTCTGTAGAAACTTCTCTATTTTTGGAGAGGTCTATGTCCATTTCTGGAGGGGTGGAGGGAATTGCCAGGAAGTTATTGAAATAAATTCCTTTGTACTGAATGTCAATAAGGCTGTAAAATCATTCTTTCTACACGTTTTGGTTCTCCTAGTGCGTACGTGAACATTTCAAGAACGTTTACAATGCCCTGCTAAGTTAGACCAGTGGTCCATGTAGCATAGCATTCTGTCTTCTGCGGTGGAACTAGAAGATGCTGTTTAGGAACAGTCTGTCCAATTTTTGCAGTCCATTTCCCTCATGCTCTCCAACAACCATGATTGTTGCATTAAGGATGCCTCAGATTGTTCTATTTAGCATCCATTTATGGACACGTTAAACCTGATGACAATACCATCATGCTATACAGTTTCCACTTAGAGCATGTAATTTTAATTTTTGTGTCATTATTATATACGTATTACTACAAGTAATATTCCATGTACTAGAATATAATGTTTTCAACATTATGAAACATTTCCAAATCAAAATATTTTTCAGTGTGTGGTAAGAAATTTAGAATCGTGTTAATTTGAAAGGGAGGAATATATTGCAATTTAGAGTGGCATGCAAGCTCTGTTTTCTGACCAGGTACTTAAAAAGTACCTTCACTAATAATAGAGTAGCTAGTGCAATCTGTACTGGTGCTGATTATGCACAGTCCAGACTGAAATGAACCTGATTCATCTTTGTTCTCATGTAGAACCTTCTCTTCTTCTAGTGTAATCTTCATCAGAGAAATCATGTGAAAGTGTAGAAGATCTTGTGCTTGGAACATGTTTCTCTAAAGTGGCATGTTAGCATTTTCCATTCCCCCAGCCTTGTAACATGGGAAAATAAATGCATTAAATTAATCAGTAACTGTATCATTCTACATTGTTGAGGGCAAATCAGTATACTTGGAGTTCAGTCTTCTGGATGTTTCTTGATGTTAATTAAGCCTTCTAACCAGATGCTGGTAGCTCAAAGGGATTACAGAAAAATTATCATGAAGGATTATTGTGATCCAGTTGGCAACTATATTTGCTAATTTGAAATTTGCCTGAAATGATTTAGATTTGTTACTTTAGTTTGATCTTTTAAAGTTAACATCAAGAGGAAAAAATTTAAATGTACAAATATCTAAATTTACTTTTAAGATCCTTGGGATGCTTCTATTTATCTTGCTTTTTCCAGAAGGAACAAAACCATTAAACCCAGTAAATATAAGCTTCCAGGAGTTTGAATTAAACTAGAGCACAGAAAATTGTAGTGCTTCAGTTCACCTGGTCCTCTTTTTGCAAGCATAGACAACCCATGGTGTGGATTCCATTTAATCTAAGTGAGGACACTGTAGTCCTATATGGAAAAAGGGAATAAAGTGCCAGGATACCAAACTGCCAACCTGCTGTACCAGGGCAATGGGAGTCCATTGCTGCTAGATTACTTCTAGTGGCTTGCTTGGCCTGGGAAAACTTGTACATCTAGCCAAAATTCTTGTAACAGAGTAACAACTGAGAGAGAACCTGTCTAACAAAGACTGTTGCTGTGTGATAAGCACAAAGGAGCAAACC